CTCAGCTACTTCCGGTTGCTCCGAATCTGATCCCTCGCAACCGACTTGCCTCAAATTTCTAAAATCAGTCAAGACAAGGGCGATAAGAAACTCCTCACCCTTCAGAATTGGGATGTTTTCCACCCCTGAAAAGGTCATATAAGTTGGCTCATAGCGGAGCAGAACGTAGGCCGCCCTCCCCTGCTTCTGAAGACTCGGTCGGCCGAAATACTTGAGCGCAGTCTTGATTTCCGAAAGGACGGCGTCGTCGGTCGAGGTCAAGACTTTCTTCAAATCGTTTCCTGTAAAAGCAAAACCATGAGGTCCCGAAAATAAAGTTTTGTAAATATAACAAGTAAATAAATAAAAGAAGATAATCGGCCACCTGGTTAGCCCCTCCGTCTAGGAATACGATCAAGGCGATCCTTGCCTTCGCCGAATTCCCAGTTTCCTTGGACGACGACCATAACATCATTGACTCACTTCCCAGAGCTGGAAAGCATAGTCACTAGTTGATGGTCGGTGTCTTTGGCCTTAAGGAAATAACACTCATGCCGACCAGAAGACTTAGCCAAGGCATAGCAATGTCGAATAACGAGAATGCCAAGGTTAAGCCCAAGGCGGCGGTTTAGTGCGATAATCCCCATCAGGATCCTAAAGAAGTTGACGTTTGGTTGGGAAGGGATTAACCCCCAATGGCAAAGCACGGCCCTAAGGAGTGGGTGAAGGGGGAAACGGACCCCACCCTCTGCGATTGATAGAAGAGGGAAGACGATCGTGGTTTCATTAACCCTTTCTATATCGAGGGTGTCGTCTGCCACAAATGACAGATGAACGTCATCAAGAATGGAAAAATGGCGTCGGAAGCCAAAAATTCGATCCGGTGAGAGGAGATCTTTTAAATGTTTCGCCATTCCCCCCAGCCAATAGGATTATGCTAAGCCAAAAAACAAAGCAGAGAAGGAGAGAACTTACAAGAGGCGAAGGAGATAGAGAAGAGTAGGAAGTTACAGAGGTAGTTCGGAAGGCAGTCCAGTGACGGGCGTCTAAAAGCGTGTATGCATTTGAAAAGACATTGAAATTTTAAATCACAATAAATAGAAGTGTACGAAGAGGCGGGAAGTTGAAATGATAACCGAGAAGTGTGTGTATAGACATTTGCGTTGGAATACAGTCAGCCGCCGAATTTCGGCTTTGACTCTTCGAGTTCGAAGTCAAACACTCCAGCCAACTGTCGTTTGTGAATCGCTTGGGGGGCACTTGTGGGGGCCGAGAATTGGGAGTCGCAGAGATTCCGGATAGTTAAATCTGGGAGAGTCGAGATTCGAAGCACTCGACAATTGGCTCGAAAGCTCAAATCCAACCCTACTCGGCCAAATAACCGATTAAGCAAGGGGCCGAGTAGAGATCGGTCTATTATAAAATGTGCCGAATATGTGGTGGGAAATGGATCTAATCCCGAGGCCCAAAGAAGAAAAGATATAAATAGAAGAAACATAAGCCAGAAGGAAGTATGTGAGAATTGTTGTGCTAAACTTAGAATACAAGCATTCTTGAGCGTTGAGACTGACTTGTCCGTCAGAGTGCTAATTCTGGCACCCCCGACCGGAGTGTTTACTCCTTTTCAGGTGACTAGAAGAGGATCACAAGCGTTCTCCAAGATCAGAAGAGTATTTCCAAACCACTTCTCCACATAATTAAATAATTGAATAGAAATTAGAGCTTAATACACATTAATATAATTAAGATTTTAAGATGATGAGATTAATTTAATTTGAGTCAAATTGATTTTAATTAATTTCTTAGCCTTAGATGGTTTCACTTAATTTATTAGTCTAATTAAGTTGAGCCTAGTGTTTTTCATAGTCATCAATTGAATTAGAGTAGGAGAGTGTAGTGGACTTCTCTTACACCCAGATAGTGTTACACGTAGAGAGAGAAGGGATAGAACACTTGGGCCCCGTTTGTTTTAGGCTATAGGGAGGGTATTGGGACTAGTAATACCAAGATATTACTAATGCCCTTGTTTGTTTGCAGAGATAGCCTTGGGACTATTAGTCCCTTGGTATTACTAATACCTTTGGAAGGGGGATTGGTAAAGAGGAGGTAGAGATGGTATTAGAAAATAGTGAGGGGATTAGAATTTTTTTTATTTTTTATATATTGGGAATTTTTTTTAAATATAATGTTTAATTTTTTATATATTTTTTTATTATTTTATATAAAAATAATTTAACAATTCCTCATTATTAATCCCCTCACTATCAATCCCCTCCATTCTATCTCCCAAAACAAACGGGGCCTTGGTGAGGGAGTTCAACAAGAGAAAGAAGTTAGGAAGAAGAGAAGGAGAAGGAGAACTTGAAATCTCCATAACTTCACAAACTTAAGGTAAGAATTTCCATCAATTTTATGAAATTGAAATGCTTCCCTCTTAATCCTTTAGGCGTTGGCTTGTTTTAAGTAAAGACCATGAATAAATAAGAGAGTAGTAGTGTAATTTAATGTTAAGAATTCATATGAACATAAAAGACAAGAAATTGTAAGAATTAGTGCCAGAACATGACATGCATGGTTAGATTTCAAGAATTTAGCTCAAGGTTTTAACATGCATGACTTGATTTCATGAGACTCTTGTTCATACATTTGATTTCTTGCATAGTTCTTCAAATTGGAGGAGGAAACTCCATGAATTTTTAATTTAGAGCTCAAAATAGGCATGTTTTTGTAATTTTCCAAACTAATTAAAATTCTGATCTTTTAATTGAACACTTGAGCTTTGTTTTAAAGTTTTAATTTCGTTTCATGTTGAAAATTCATGTCCACGCTTTTATGTTTCCTTGCATGGCTTAAAGGAATTCAAAAGAATGTTCCGTGGAAGATGAATTTGGGACTCAAACTTGCATGTTTTATGATTTTACACTTAAATTCTAGATTTTGATATTTTAAGTGGAAATTGAGTTTACATTAAAGGTTTGATCTTTATTTCAAGTTAAATATTGAATTTCAACAAGGCCTTAATCAACATGTTTTAAGAGTTTTGGTCTTTGATTTGGAGTTGAAATTTCAAAATGTACATATTTATAAGTTTCTGATTCAGTAATTTAAACATGACTGAATAATTGTAATTTAATATGCATGGGCCTAATTTAAGTTTGATTGTGTAATTAGTGAACTTAATAAGGGTTGGTATATGATTAGATTATTTATATTTAATTAGTTTGGTTAATACATAGCTAAACATATTTTAATTGGGGGTTAATAGTCTAATTTATTCCTAATACTAGTCATCCATATTTAAAAGGAATGGAAGAAAAATAAATAGGAATAACCGAATGAAAATTAGAATCAAATGAGAGAAACCAAAAAACAAACAAGTAACCGAATTAAATAGATTGTGAGAGTGTAATTGTAATCGTGTTGTGCTTGACTTATTTGTTTACGTCGGACGCCGAACGATTAGCATGTGTTTTTCGGGAGCCCACTATGAGTAACATTTCTGTAAACATATGTTGATATGAACTATGTTTCAACTGTTATGTGATAAGTTAAAATTTTTGAAATGCTATTTTAATTTTGTGAACGAATGTCCTATTTGCGAATCTATTATGGCATTCATAGATAGTCCCAAGTCATGGGGGATGACATGTGAATGTGGGTCCATGACACATATGTGATACGCGATCTCGTTAGCCACTTCATTGTGGTGATATGTGTTTAATCGGTATCTGGAACCGATTACTCTAGTCGAAAGACAATATGTGATATGTTCTGTGAGATGTACCATTATGTTATGTTCTGATATAAGACTGACATGAATGATTGTGTCATGATTTGTTTTACGGATATGATATATTTGGAATTCGTTCAATTACCCCTTTACTTTAATGTTATTCACTGGGCTTTAGCTCACTGTTTTTATATATATGTATAGGTGAGAATTTTGGAGGGCAAGCCTAGAAGGGGTCTTTAGCTGAGCCACCATTTTGAAGCCTACCGAGTTGCTTTGTGTGCGTCTGAGTTGGGGCTAGGCCTGGAAGGCCGTTGTCAGGCTTTTGATCGTGCAGTACACTTTTGCTATGTGCATATGTTATGTATAAGATGTTAAGTTACAAATTATGTACTGAATGTGGGTAAATTAATGTTTTTGCATATAAATATTTGTTCATATAGATGCACAGCTCATTGGACTATTGGTGTTTTTGTATATTGCTTTCGCTAGCCCCGATTATTTTTTATTATAAAAGAAGGCCTTTGGTAATCTCAAATTACTGGTTGGTTACGACGCCAAACTTATAGGGGCGGATTTGGGTCGCGACAAAATGGTATTAGAGCACGAGTTAATTACCCACATACGTGTCCATATGAGCTGTAGGGTGTCCTAGAAAAGAAATAAGGCATGGCATAGACATGTGTGCATGTGTATGTGCATTATATGAGATGAAATGAACTTGAATACCATGCACATATTGGAAATGACATGAAATGGTTACATGTGAACTAAAAGGAATATATTTGAACTAAACTGACATGAACGAAACACTGTGAAAACTGTACGGGATTATTTGTCTATGCTTGTAGTGTTGTCCATAGAAAATAAAAAAAAAGAAGAACTGTAGATGGAATGGAATACATGGGTAAATATGATTAGTGTTTGAACATAAACATGAAAGCTATATTACCTATATGAGAATGTGGATTGAGCGTGAACAAAGAAAGTAAATGAATTACCATACAAGTTTGATTTGAATGAGCATGATTACTATTTTGGCATGAATATGAACGTATGTGACCTATGTGAACATGAGATCCTCCTATGTCTATTAGACCGATGGAAAACGCAAGAAATACTGATGAGACTGAATCTTCAGAAGCAAGAATTGCAAGGTTAGAAAGAATGGTTGAACTACTGATTGAATCTTTAAGGCAACAACAACAAAATCAACAGCTCCCACCTCCTCCTCCGCCACCAGTGCAAGTTGAACCAAACAATGATGATGTCATAGCCCTAACACAACAAAATGAACCCACCAGAATTTTTGGGAGGTATTGAACCATTAAAAGTAGAGGCTTGGATACTAGAAACTGAAAAGATATTTGAAGTATTTCCGTGTACCGAAGCACATAAAGTTCTATTGGCAACATTTACTCTAAAAGAAGAAGCTAGGAGATGGTGGATGCTCGTCCGAGACGAGAATGGAGACTTGACATGGGATCAATTCAAAGAAATTTTCTATGAAAAATACTTCCTGCAATGCATCTGGGATAGAAATGTATCTGAATTTGAACAACTAAAACAAGGTGACATGACTGTGGCCGAATATGAGACCAAATTTACCGAATTAGCCCGATATGCACCTTGTATGGTTGATACAGATTACAAAAAGGCAAGGAAATTTGAGGGTAAACTCACGGTTAAAGTTCTTGATCAGGTGAATGTTTTGAAATTGGAAAAGTATGTGGATGTACTTGATAAAGCCTTGATGTCCGAAGCAAATATTGCTGCCTTGAAAATGTCCAAGTCAACAGCAACAACCGAAGGAGAAAGTAATAAATTAAAGAAACACAAAATGGAAATGGTTAGTGAATCAATGGCATCCGTAAATGAAAAATCAAATTCAAAAACTTTTGGTGATACAAGTCAGGGAAATAATGGGAACAATGAGGTACCTACATATAGAGAGTGTGGGAAACAATGGGCATTTGCCTTTCTGGAGCTTGCTTTAGATGTGGACAAAAAGGACACTTAGCCAAATCATGTCCACAAGCTCACCCAAACAATGAAAGACCGGTTACCAGTAGGTTTGAATCAGCAATGACACCAAGAAAAAATGTAATTGCTACTGCGAAGGGGAGTAACCTTAGGAAGGGAAGAGTTTACACTCTAGTTTCAAAAAATATGCAGAATATTGACACAACAGATGCAGGTATTATCTTACTTATGTGCAAAATATTGAGACAACAGATGCAGGTATTAACTTACTTATGTGCAAAATATATATATATATGTGGAAATTATTATACATCATGGCATTTGTTGGACTATTGTGATAGATTTATGATAATTGCTTTTGCTTGCTCATGAAGCTTAACTCCTATTGCTTACATGAAGTACTGATTGGTCATAACACTTACTTGTAGACAAACTAAGAAATTAGCTGATTTATCAGACACTGTTATGTACCTTCCTCGATTTCATATGACTTGGGAACATGCTGATTGAATTGATAGAGATGATATGTGATGCTTCGAAACGCTATGACTTTAACAAATCACCTATGCTGATTATCGGGGGACGGATTTTGTTATTGAATACTATTACTTCCGAATTTATAACCAAATGCTTATGTAATCATGAAATCTGGACTCGTATGTGTGTATATCTTTCCTTGGAGTAATTTGTTATGATATGTGACCCTCAAAATTAGATCCTCGAGACCATGGTTTTGTGATGAAGGAACCGTTTGAAATGGAACCTTTATTTGATTTGATTTGATTTTGTTTATGAGGACTTGAATTTTTATTGAACGAATGATAGGGTTATCTTTGCTAATGGAGGAGTAAACCGAGAACTTGTTTACTGTATAACTTCGACTGATTGGGAGCACATGTCTTATTACAAAGATTGAATGCCTCGGTATTACCTTTGCTATTGCTTGTTCAGGGAATGGTTGCATTTATGTTACTAGCTACTTGGAAGTATATTAATTAGATACAATGTATCTAATTAATATACTTCCACCAATTGATTTTGTGGGAAATGTGAAAGATGTGTTCATTATGTGCTTGACTACGGCTGTCTTCACTGTTATGGGATGGAAATATGGAGTTGATTTAGAATTCTGAATGACTGAAATGGATCTTTGAATTGCATTGACCATGTGTGACGGATCTAAATAGTAATATAAGACCAAGGTTTCTAATCGTGTTACAGGGTAAGATAAGTTTGGAGGACTAAACTTCCTAAGGTGGGAAGATTGTAGCACCCCAAAAATGAAAATTATAATTATGTGAATTATCCATGTGTTAATTATAGATTATATGATTTAATTTGTGTATATCTGTCCAGATTGGGAAATTTATTTTGTTGAGAATACAACTTTGGAATTGAAATTGATGACCTTACTGGGTTCAGAAATCGAAATTGAGTACATGGATATGTTAATTGAAATTTTTAGACTTATCCAGGAGGTTTAATTAAAAATTGATTTCGTCTGATTCGCTAATTTTAATAGGTTGGAATTAAATAATTGAATAGGAATTAGAGCTTAATACACATTAGTATAATTAAGATTTTAAGATGATGAGATTAATTTAATTTGAGTCAAATTGATTTTAAATAATTTCTTAGCCTTAGGTGGTTTCACTTAATTTATTAGTCTAATTAAGTTGAGCTTAGTGTTTTTCATAGTCATCAATTGAATTAGAGTAGGAGAGTGTAGTGGACTTCTCTTACACCCAGATAATCTTACACATAGAGAGAGAAGGGATAGAACACTTGGTGAGGGAGTTCAACAAGAGAAAGAAGTTAGGAAGAAGAGAAGGAGAAGGAGAGGGAGAAGGAGAACTTGAAATCTCCATAACTTCACAAACTTAAGGTAAGAATTTCCATCAATTTTATGAAATTGAAATGCTTCCCTCTTAATCCTTTAAGCATTGACTTGTTTTAAGTAAAGACCATGAATAAATAAGAGAGTAGTAGTGTAATTTAATGTTAAGAATTCATATGAACATAAAAGAGAAGAACTTGTAAGAATTAGTGCAAGAACATGACATGCATGGTTAGATTTCAAGAATTTAGCTCAAGGTTTTGACATGCATGAGTTGATTTCATGAAACTCTTGTTCATACATTTGATTTCTTGCATAGTTCTTCAAATTGGAGGAGGAAACTCCATGAATTTTTAATTTAGAGCTCAAAATAGGCATGTATTGTAATTTTCCAAATTAATTAAAATTTTGATCTTTCAATTGAACACTTGAGCTTTGTTTTAAAGTTTTAATTGCGTTTCATGTTGAAAATTCATGTCCACGTTTTTATGTTTCCTTGCATGGCTTAAAGGAATTCAAAAGAATGTTCCATGGAAGATGAATTTGGGACTCAAACATGCAGGTTTTATGATTTTACACTTAAATTCTAGATTTTGATATTTTAAGTGGAAATTGAGTTTACATTAAAGGTTTGATCTTTATTTCAAGTTAAATATTGAATTTCAACAAGGTCTTAATCAACTTGTTTTAAGAGTTTTGGGCTTTGATTTGTAGTTGAAATTTCAAAATGTACATATTTATGAGTTTCTGATTCAGTAATTTATACATGACTGAATAATTGTAATTTAATGTGTGTGGGCCTAATTTAAGTTTGATTGTGTAATTAGTGAACTTAATAAGGTTTGGTATATGATTAGATTATTTATATTTAATTAGTTTGGTTAATACATAGCTAAACATATTTTAATTGGAGGTTAATAATCTAATTTATTCCTAACACTAGTCATCCATATTTAAAAGGAATGGAAGAAAAATAAATAGGAATAACCAAATGAAAATTATTTTTGTTTATGTCAGATGCCGAACAATTAGCACGTATTTTTGGGAGCCCACTGTGAGTAACATTTCTGTAAAGATATGTTGATATGAACTATGTTTCAACTGTTATGCGATAAGTTAAAATTTTTGAAATGATATTTTAATTATGTGAATGAATGTCCTATTTGTGAATCTATTATGGCATCCATAGATAGTCCCAAGTCATGGGCGTCGGCATGTAAATGCGGGTCCATGACACATATGTGATACGCGATCTCGTTAGCCACTTCATTGTGGTGATATGTGTTTCATGAGTATCCGGAACCGATTACTCTAGTTGGAAGACAATATGCGATATGTTCTGTGAGATGTACCATTATGTTATGTTTTGATATGAGACTGATATGAATGATTGTGTCATGATTTGTTTTACGGATATGATATATTTCGAATTTGTTCACTAACCCTTTTACTTTAATGTTATTCACTGGGCTTTAACTCACTGTTTTTATATATATGTATAGGTGAGCGTTGTGGAGGGCAAGCCTAGAAGGGGTCTTTAGCTGAGCCACCGTTTTGAAGCCTACCGAGTTGTTTTGTGTGCCTTTGAGTTGGGGCTAGGTCTGGAAGGCCGTTGTCAGGCTTTTGATCGTGAAGTACACGTTTGCTATCTGCATATGTTATGTATAAGATGTTAAGTTATAAGTTATGTACTGAATGTGGGTAAATTAACCTTTTTGCATGCAAATATTTGTTCATATAGATGCATAGCTCATTGGACTATTGGTGTTTTTGTATATTGCTTCCGCTAGCCCTAATTATTTTTTATTATACAGGAAGGCCTTTGGTAATCTTACATTACTTGCCGGTTACGATGCCAAACTTATAGGGGCAGATATGGGTCACAACAGCGGCAGAGGACATCGCGACTGATCTTAAGGCGGAGTTCGCTCCGAAGCTCGAGCCAGAGCCATTACCATTAAGGGTGCGCTCCTTTGATCCGATGACGTATCATCCTCGTACACATATACTGCCGCCCAGAGGCATTAGGCGTTTCAGTGACTTTGCTCGTGGCATGCTAGAGGACCTCCTATTGAGGGAGCTGGACGCCCACTTTTCTTCCAGCACTCGAGGTATGAACTCTATTTTCTTGCATTCATGCCTTTCCTTTAACTGCATTTCTTGCACTACCTTTTATCGTAACACTCTTTTATCACTGCCTTTCATCTGATTCACCTTTTCCTGCCACATGAAGACTCCTGTGCCTACAGAGGGTATGAAGCGACAACGGTGAGGGATTGGTATAATGAGCTCCCCGTCGGGGTCCGTGATATTGTTGACGAGGCCAGCTTCGGCCTTTTCTACTCCGGACTTTCACGCCTCATAGCGAGCCAGCCTTTTTGAGCATTGGTGGAGAGGTGGTGGGACACCACCAACTCTTTCCACCTCTCTTTTGCCGGGGAGATGACGATGACTCTTTACGACTTCGCCATGTTCACAGGCTTAGGAGTAGGGGGTGATCCGATCCCCTTCGACACGAATATAGGCGAGTGGGAGGCCGCATGGATCCACCAGTTGGGAACACGTCCCCTTCTGTACTTCCCAACCATGGTGAGGTACAGTTGGTTTTCTAAGTAGTTCCGCAAGAGCGAGCCCGAGACACCAAAGGAGATGGAGCAGTATGCCTGGGGCTTCCTGATGTTTCTCCTTGGCACCACCTTGTTTTCGAATAGGTGGAACACCGTAGGTGTAACAACCTCGACCTGCGAATCGCCTTTAATCCATGATTAAATATGCCTAAGAAGAATTAAGATGAAATTCTGAATTTATTTGCATGTGTGTACGACATTATTTGTGTTTCTATCTATCCATCGTAGAAGTATCTGTTTGTTGTTTTATTCTGTTTTGTGAATTGAAGGCCTTATCGGCATCCGATCTCGAAATTGACTTGAATTATGTGTGTCACGACCCAAGCCCACCCCTATAGGTTCAGCGTCGTAACCGGCCAGTAATCCATGGATTGTCAAAGGCCTTTTAACAGAATAACATATAATTAGAGGTTGCGAAAGCAAAATATACAAATATACATAGTTCATTGAGCTATGCAGACATACATGGGACACATAAAATTAAATTTATGAGCATATATATGACGTCATAAAGGTACAATACTTATACGTTATCACATGTACATATAAACAGAAATTGCTCATAAACCAAAA